TCTTATATCTTTCCAGGGCTTCGATTTGGAAGGCTTATAGGTTGAGAAGGTGTGAATCCGGTGTCGGGTCGCCTTCCTTGAGCTTTATGACTTGTGTGGCTGCCTGTAGTCTTTTTATGAACCCGCTCTCGGTCAGCCCTTGAGTAAAAGCTTCCCTAAATTTGTCCCATTTCACTCGTTTTTGTACCCGCTTCTTTACACCGGTAGAGAAATGGGTCAGTCTTACTGTGATTGATAGATGGTCATTGCCCATACAGTCTTTCGAAAGTTTCTACTCGCGTCCGATGTTTCGAGTTGCCCAGATGAGGTTGGGTGTGGACGTCCTTCTGCTTCGCGTGCATACCTATTCGCGTCGGCATATCTACGTCGTTCGTGAGTCTAAAGCAGTTCAGAGTTTTTGCTACAGCTGTTTCCTCGCCTTTGAGTGAGTCACGGGAGTATTCCCACATGGTGTGCGTCGCGTTGAAGTCTCCGCCCACGATAATTGGTACCTTCCCCGCTGCGAGTTTCAGGTGTGGAATCCAAGTGGTCGCGTTGCTGCGCACGTTATATCCCGGGCGCTCATAAACCGATACCACCACCAACCAACAAGCACCGGTCTTCACCAGCACTGCCACAATTTCGTAATATTCGTTACACCATTGCGACATGTCGATCTGATCTTGCGGTGGGTTATAATCTACGAACACGGCTGCTTGTCCTTTAGCTACCGGCACGTTCGGTGTATTAGATCCTCTGCGCGGTTGTCCCCTCTTCTTGTGCAAGGTCGGAGTCATATATACGTTACACCCCGCTATTTGTTTTTCTACACCTTCTACCTCCTGGAGCAGAAGGGCTACTGGTTTCTCTATAGTTAAAACAAGTTTGGTCAGTTCACTTACCTTTCCCGCGAGTCCGTAACAGTTCCATTGAACAACACATGGCGGCCTCGGGGCTTGGCCCCGATTTGAAACCCCGTTATTAGTTGAAGCCAGCTGGACTGTCGTGGCTCATCGTGTTGGCGCTTGACGAGTTTGGTTTGCCACTGTTTTCTTGGCCTCGGAACAATGAGCGGACAGCCTCATGCAGAATGGGTGTTATAATGGCTTTAAGCTTCTTTTCCACGATCTCTCTGATCATGCTCATGATGGCGTTCTGGAGATCGGCCTTGATGCTGGCGATCATTCCCGCCATAGAGGTCTTGAATTCCGCCCGTGTTACCAATGTTTGATCTCTATCCGAGCTCGCCTGGGACATGTTTGTCGCCGTGTATGTGGCTTGGTGTTGTATTTGCCCGGAATGATGTTGGGTTGCTGTTTCCACCTGTCCTCGAGTCGGTGCTCGTGACCTGGACCCCATGAGAGCTGTTTTCATGGCTTGAACCATGCGTGGAATATCCTCAAGCAAGAGAAAAGAAAAAAAAAAAACACAAAAACAATGAAAGCCTGTAATGCCGAATTAGAGCGCAGCTCTTGAGGAGGAGGATGGGAGGTACGGAAAGTACGGTATACCCCTCCTCCTCATCCGCACCCTCTCCTCCTCCCTCCTAATCTACTGCTCCCGTGCTTCTCGCCTCCTCCTCCTTCCCTCTTCCTATCCTCCTCCTCATCCCTCCTCCTTTTCCGTTATCCCCATCCTCCTCCTCCCCTCCCCCTCGTCCTCCTCCTTTCTCCTCCCCCTTCTCCTTCTCCCCTCCTCCTCCCCCTGCTCCTCCCTCCTCCTCCTCCTCCCCGCGCGTTGCATCATGGGAAATGTCCCATAATGCACCACGCGGGGCCCTCGTGACGTCACGAGTCTCGCGCGTTGCATTATGGAAAATTTCTCATATGCACGGCGCGGTTACACCGTCGGCGACACCGCTCAAGCCGGAAGCGGGCGCCTAAGAGCTACGCTCTAAAAGTACCTGAAACTGAACGCCGCAGCGGAGACAAAGGCTGGAACCACGGATACCCGAAAAAGCTATACAACGACAACGATCTCACTGACCAAGCGACCGCCAAGGAGTAGTTTTAGGAACGCTAGGCTTATCAAGACACTCCGACGCAACGTTGCTCCGACGACCCGGAAAGAGACCATCTGCACAAAACCGGCAGGCTTGCTGACTGGAAGATGCCCACGCGGCCTTTATGGACCCTTCTCGTATGAATAGTTTGAACCCTGACCTCTATTTCGGGCAAAGATCAGTTTTTCCACTCGTGTTCTCTAGATTGTTTTCAGATGTAGCGATGGCGAACGCTCTCTTCTAAAAGGGACACTCTCCTCGATTCTATCTTCTTTTTTGTGTTATCAAGCTTAAAGAAACGCAATACGAATTGCCTTCACAACATGGGCACGTACACGTTTTTAGAGCGCAGCTCTTAGGCGCCCCAAGGTCACCCCAAGGTCACGTGACCCCTCCCAAGGTCACCTCAAGGTCACGTGACCGGCAAGGCCACCCCAAGGTCACGTGACCCCTCCAGGTCACGTGACCCCCCGAGGTCACGTGACCCTCCCAAGCTCACCTCAAGGTCGCGTGACCCCTCCCAAGGTCACCTCAAGGTCACGTGACCCCCAAGGTGAGCCCACGTGACCCCCTGAAGGTCACGTGACGCCCAAGGTCACCCCAAGGTCACGTGACCCCCGAGGTCACGTGGTCCCCTCCCCAAAATCACGTGACCCCTCCAGGTCACGTGATCCCCAAGGTGACCCCCACGGGACACCCCAAGGTCACGTGACCCCCCAGGTCACGCCTCCCCGAGGTCACGTGACACCCCTCCCCGAAGTCACGTGACCCCCCCCCCCCCCCGAGGTCACGTGACCCCCCCCCCCCCGGAGCATATTAAAGAATGAGGGGAGGAGGAGGAGAAGGAGGAGGGGTCTACCCTCCCCTCAGTACCCTTCACTCTTCCTCCTCAAGAGCTGCGCTCCAATTCGGCGTTACAGGGAGTTGTAAACGGCTTTCACTTTTTTAGTATGTCAATTTTATTCCGACATGACGGTACGCCAACACATGTCGAGTTAGAGCAGTTGTTGGGAGCTACTCAATGCCGCTCCAATTTTTTGCTGCCGAGCGTCACGCCAGCAGCGGGTTGCGACTGTCTAATGGCCCAGCGGTTCATAAAATCGGTTGTAAAAGAGCGCTCCCGAAGCGGTTACTAAGATCGCGGTGCCAATGTGGTTCCGCTCACTGTGTGAACAGATATTTGCCTGGATTGTGATGACAGTCTTTTAGTTCAAACGTATCTTCCTGGAATGTCGGCTCCCTCCCGCATCCCCGAAGCCACGAAAAACGCCGCAGTGATATGTTTACGTGCGCGTCGCTTTGCAGAGCCGTGCGGGCCGTCTCCCTTCAGCAAAAAATGGCTGTTGTGGTGACTTCGTAGCGATCCGCTTGGTTGCAGTCGACCAAGGTGGCTATCCCGTCATCGGGAGAGGTGGGCATTCGGGCCTGTTTAAATAGACATTTCGTGACGTCGATATTACATCGCACGTACACCATCCCCAAACGACCCCAAATAATCGTTGCCGGAAAGACCACCCGATACTGAAATGAATGGTGGCTAACTCTGATGTCACGTTTTTCACCAAAGTGCCTCGGTACTACGTTCAAGCCTAAGTAATCGCTATGAGTGAGGCGCTGCTCTTACTAACATGTTGTCATCACGACATTCCATAGAAGACATCCACGAGGTGAATTTTGGTTACCGCTTTATTTAGTTTAAAATACGTTTTCTCGCGTTATCCTACCAATTATTGGTGTTGGTGAAGTTAGACTTTAACCCGCTTCATATTTGACCAAAGTGATGAGCTCCAGTATTTCGTTTCCGTACCTCTTTCAGCATCGGCCGTATTGGGTTCTTTTTCTTTCAACTCAACAGCGGAAGCGGCGGGGGGTCACGTGGCTGGTCCTCTAGCACGCGTCCCCACCGCTCCCACTTCGAAGCTAAAGCGTCTCACAGGGCTACGAGTCAGAGGAGGGCGCGATCAGAAAATCTGGCAGCTCTCTGAAACAACCCACCGAATATACTTAGAGTGCCCGATTTCGACCCGCCGAATGGGCACCGGCTTTTCAGAGTGCTCCAAGAAACTGGAAATTGACCAGCCGAATATACCATTAGAGTGACAGAAAACTTAAGGAGAGTTGAGTGTAGCTCATTACCTTGAACCATCTTGCAATTCGCAGTTCCTTTTACGGCCCACATATCGGCTAATTCGAAAATCTTATTGGCTGCAAAACGGTAGTAAGATGATCGGCACTGTCCACGCCGTGCGTTTCTTAAACTGTCGGCGACTACAAGGTAGGTCTAGCAAAAAAAATGGAGTGCACAGATGGCTTTGATCGAGCTCGCTAGGTGCAGGATGCAGAGTTTGTGTTCCTATAGCACTTCGCGTGTTTTATACAAGAGTCTAAACCCCTTGTTCCGCCCGTGTGCTATGGCTCCCCTTGTGGGCACACACAAGCTTTTACAAGCTTGACTACCTTGCTTATGCCCGTGTGAGCTCCACCTAATTGCATAAAAGGTCACCAACCAGGGAACCTCACTTGCAAATGATGCATTATCTTCAAGTATTGTGTCAGCCTGAAACATTCGCCAACTGCCTAAAGAAACAAATTAAAATAAACCATATCTACACATCACTGATTGGAACACACAATGACAATGTAAACACGTGACAAAAGCTGAAATACGGAAAGAAAATCAGTATTTGACTGGCTAATTTAACGAACTCAGGCCTAGATGCCTTCCTTACGTAAAGAGAGATTGATGTCGGTGGATGATAATGTTTATTATTGACTTCTAGCTAGTTCGTTCGTCCCCTTCTGTGTTCCTGAGTCTCGGGTTTTATTACCATGAATCATCACCAGCTCGCTTGTTTTTTAAGTATTATTGCAGTTCTAGCTAGTACATTGTGATTCAGGGGTGCGTTCTATAAATATAAAGTGAGGTAGTTTCTTAAGTGGATCAAATGTGCCTCTGCAACTCGATAATATGCGGGTTCGAAGTTTTCTGAAATAGCGACATTTGTTCCTTCTTTTGTAGCCACTCTTTCTGTATCTGGCGCATCTAGCACCACATGTTGCAAACCAGAATGATCCTCTGCAGGCCCCGAAGAAATACAGCGACAAGTATCACGACATAGGCCACTGGAACAGAACTCTGTACGCGGGTATGTCTCTCGGGTAATTCGTATTAACCCTCGCGTGTCTTTTCTTGTCATATAACATTATTCAACAGGAATACATTTAACCGGTGTAGTTTCTGCTAGCTTCCATGCAATCATTAGTGCAGTATCCGTTTTAAATGCCAAGATCTACCGCTTGTGGACCACCGCCCCAGTGCCATTCTTCCCAATCTATGGAGTGATATTTCACAAGGCTAAATGAGCTTGCTCGATATTGCCCTCAAAGGACACATCCGGGTTTCTGGACGTACATTCGCCTATGCACTACTTTCAAGGGTACACCACTTTTGGGCTCACATGAGGTCTCGTAAAAAGGGGATCCAAACTATTGTTACGTGAGTGAAGCAGTGGTAGCAATGGGATCGTTGACAGTCTGAAACGGGGGTGAATTAACATGCCCGATTATTTTGTCATCACGTCTCGGTAGCCTTCGCAGACCTCTTAGCCAAGTTTAGAAGAATAGCCGCACTTTTCAACGGAGCAGCGCGCTTTGTGGCCAAATATTGCAGCAAACTAGCCCAGACAGATATCGCCAGTGTGTCCTCTCGTCTTAAGCGTTAATAAGGAGACTCAACTTTCTCGAGCACACGGAAACGCAAATGTGTGAACCAGTGCAGACAACTAATGAAAGAAAAAAAAAACACAACTAAAAACTAAAAAAAGTTTTGAAAAACAGCCAAATTTAAGGCAAAGCGTAAGGATGACATTTTTACACAATTTACTTCTATAACTAGTCTGACAACGACAGATTAAATAAAATAACCCTTAAAAGGAAGTTCCGACCCTTTTTGATCCAGAGGGCATCATAGAAAAGTGATCTAACAATTGTGAAGTGTTACCAGGTATGTTTTATAGCTACACCTGCCGACGTACATCTTCATGCGTAGTTTCTGTATTTAGTGCACTATCTGGTGGCGGTTTAAAGCTTCCGTGACTAAATTTCAAGAACTTATGTTCTTCCCCAGAGATATATCTGACTTGTCTGACGTCGCTCGAAACTTGCAGTTACCAGTCTCAAAGTTTAGAGGCGTATATATAACACGCATTATTTCTGAATTGTTCATAGTTCACAGGGCCCATGTCGTCATGCAGAGTTGAAAAACGAATTCATATGCTGACGCCCAAATCAGATCAAAGCATGTTTCAGTGTTTTCAAAAGTTGTATCTTAATGGAGTCGAGAGAGTTATTTTTATTAACATCAATTTTGTTGAGTGTGGGCAAAAATAAAAACCCCGTGACTCTTACCTAGAACAAAAATTATGCTTTTTACTAGGGATAATTGTAAACTGGAGAAGATCTTAGAGCTGCGGGAAAGGAATAACACTAAGATGACTAGACAGCCGCTAAAAATAGCGCTAAACTGCAAAACGGCCATTTTTCTTGCTAGACAAATAAGAAAACCGCTAATTTTAGTGGGAAACCCGCTAAACTAGCAACACTGGTCTGAAAAAGCCTTATGGTCCAGTAGAGTTGGTGTACAGCCTACCCTATCTCACAGAACTAGGTCAAAAGACGAAGACGTATTCACGTCCCTCGCATCTGTCTTTAAGTCACCAGTTCAATTTGTTTTTAACTTCCAATGGCTGCTTTAAAAAAAAGAAGTTGTACTATCCGGTATTTAGGTATTCAGAAATTGAGTACAACGGAAATCAGTGAGTTTAAGTAGGCATTGTTAAAGATACATGGATATACACACATATATATATATATATATATATATATATATATATATATATATATATATATATATATATATATATATATATATATATATATATATATATATATATATATATATATATATATACATATATATATATATATATATATATATATATAAAGGAGAATACAAATGACGAAAACAAGATATAGCTTGGTAAGAAGGGAATAAAGAATTATCAAAATACTTAAAAATAATCATAGATAAATCTTGGCAACTTCAGCCGAACCATAGTTTTAATACAGCGTGAATTGAGGTAATCACTGTCTAAGTGATTCGACAGCATTCATTGAACCAGGTATAGTTTTAAAAGGTATTCAAGTTTTACGACTGCATGGTTCGACAGTATACATTCGTTCCGAAGGGCGCCAACTTATGAACAAGGCGAAATTCGGCGTACCTTATGCATTGTTCAGTGTAGATTTCAGTCTCCAATATATATAATTCGAGCAGCTCAAACCTGTACTCTGGTTTAAAAAAAAAGACGCAATGTGGCTTCGCGCACATAGGCATAAGTTTATTTTCCCTGCGTTTTGCAGGCATGGTGTCCGCACTCGACGAGTCGGTGGGCGCCGTTGTTGAAGCCCTTGGAAAACGAGGAATGTTGAGCGACACTGTTTTGGTGTTCTCATCGGACAACGGTGGCGACACGAACGGCGAATATCCAAACTACGCATCTTCCTGGCCCTTCAAGGGGCAGAAACGAACACTATGGGAAGGAGGTATCCACGTCCCCGGCTTCATCTGGAGCCCGTTGTTCAGCGGAATGCGGGGCTTCGACTACAATAATATTTTTCACATCAGCGACTGGTTGCCCACCTTATACCAACTTGCTGGTGAGTAGTACATCGGGAACAAATAGCCAACCTACGAGCGAAGAATATGCTGGTAAATGAATATTTGCCCGTTATCCACGCTATCGTGGTAAGGGCAATTACTGCCTAGAATGTACTATGTGCCGCTTGGTGGCCATGCTCCAGAGAGGTATTCAATGCGGATTTAATGCCTTGACGGCGCGAACGCCATTTTGCGTGTTGTCTCTGAAATAAATCCCTGCTAAAGCTTGCGCTCCAGTGGGAGAGGAACGAGAAGTTTGCACTTCATACGATTGCAGACCGTATCTTTGACCTGCTATTTTTCGACTTTCTATTTTCTCCAAAACACGTGCTCGTTCTCTTTCCTTCAGCTTTCTGCACAATCTTCCAGCTTAGGTGCAAGTGCGCTCACTAAACACCTACTAGATAAAATTGAGTTTTAGTAGACTACGTAGGCGATTGCAAGCAAAACCACCAGCCGCCGCCGAGTCTCTGATCTTGCGGACAAACCCGTGCAATTTCAAGTTTGCCAAAGCTATGTTCACGCGCAAACTTTCACTGATGGGCACCAGTTGGCGTGGCATGCTTGCAATTTTGGCGCGTGCTGATTCTATGCTTCAAAATGACGGCACGAGCTCCTGCGTACGTATACTCCATTCACCCTTAAAGGGCCGATGCAACGACTTTTGTCCTTTGCGCAAATACCGCTTAGAACGGATCCCTGACGTTAATGACCTGTGAAACGTCCGTTCGTTTTTTATCACAGGGAATAGAAGTCGGGGAAAAAAGATTAAAGAAAAACAAGCAGCATTCACCCCTTCAACTCGCAGCCAGAACCATGTAATCTGAAGTAAGCTCGACTTTGGCGGGAATCTCTCGGATATGACGTAAGGGCGGAGGGGAGGAGCTTTTTTCGACTCCGCCCCGGCGAGTTTTTCCTTTCTCATCTTACATTTCCGACCCCTCCGGCGACGGCGAGTTCCCCAGCGTAGCTCCAATTTGCCCCTGTGCTCCGCAGTGAAGGGTTTGATTTGATTTACATCGTAAATGGACAAATAAAAATTGGTAACAGCATGGATGCTAATTATAAACGTAATGCTTGGATATTGTCTAGTTGGTTAGACATTCTGATGGTTTTCTGCGCAGCGTAAATACCAAAAAAAACCTTACTTGATTAAATTTAAACTAAAACAGGGGATAGAAGAAAAACATCATACATAAATGGCGCAGATGGCGACTTCGCGTGATCAATCGCTGTCAAGCCCTTGCCGGTGACACCGGCAACGAAAACCACGCCAGCGGCGTACCACGTGACCCTCTCCACCCGAACAGAAAGCGCCGGCAACTGGCGTTTTCTTTAGCCTGGGTAGTGCGTAACCTTTGTTCACTTCGTCCACTATTTTATCGCTACAATAGGCACGCTGTACGCATCAGCAACATAGATTCGGACTGAGATTTGAGTAAACACAAGTGGCCTCACAATATATAGATATTTTTAATACTGACATTACCACTGTCCGCACAGCTTACAGGATTTTAAATTATAAACTTCATAGGAGGTCAGATTAATAAACAAACAAATGAGTCGTTAGTTGTTTATACAACAGGAGTTTAGTCTGCCAGAACATGGCGTCTTTGTTACCCACTGTAGATAATCAATTTAGCCAGTGCGGTACGAATGCTAACCTGGGGTCTTTAACGTGCACCACGCAGTAGTGATACACGACCGCACGCCGGTACGATGCTCATCCAGATCGAAACGGGCAGGGTTGGAAATTGAACCCAGGATCCATGGGTTCTGCAGTGCGAGCTTTCGCTCTACGTGCTCCGAGCTGGTGTGCGCTAGTGTGCACTAGCCCAGTCGGCCACAATCTCCCATTAATAAACATACGTAGTAAATGGTATAGCGCAAAAAAGGCGGGACGCAGAAGAAGTAAAGCACAAGACGAGCCATGTATGTTAAAGGGACACTGACAGGGTATTTATGCTCGCCAAGGTTTTCAATTGCACATGAAATATGAGAGCCTAACTATGCAGAAAGCGATTCGGGGCTCGACATTCGTTTTCTTTCCCCTCGAAAAACGCCGAATGAGAACGGGACAGTTTGAGTCGCGCTCACTTTTTTCTCCGTGGTCACGTGCCGTTTTCTATGGTTTAGAGTTTAGACACAACCACCAAATGTAGTCAAAGTTGTGGGTCATCGAAGGCACACGCACAATATTAAAAAGAGAAAAGAGATATGATACCCTATTTTTGTGGCTTCGAAAAGGCTGCAAATACTTTGACGGGGGGAAAAAAAATATCACAGCCACGTGACTTCCGCCGACTCACACTAAAAAACGACGTGTTCATTGTCAAGCACAGAAGGGGTATGTCCAGAAAAGCGAAAAACCGATAATTTTACTGTCTTCATCGTTCCGCTAATCTAGAAACAAAATTAACATATGTCAATTATGATGTAGATTAGAAAACCAGAGACTGTGGTAAAAGCAGGAAACCTTGGTCGAAGAAGAAAGACAGGGGAAAAGAAGGAGAAGAAGAAAGACAGGGGAACAAGAAAGACAGAAGAAAAGAAGACAGAGAAAAGAAAAAAAGTTTCCCGGCTTTTACCACAGTCTCGGGTTTTCTACATCATGATCAACATCCACCAGCTCGCCTGCGCGCCCACTGTTTTTTCCTTAATATATGTCAGTAGCCTGAAGCTTACAGAAGCACTGAAAGGCACATGTCAGGAATCTGCTTGTCCGGTTCGGTGTAACGACCGTCTCAACCTGATCGCCACCGACGTTCTGGACAAACATGCTGCACAGGCGCTACTGAAAACAACGGACTTATGTCGTATACCGGTTCGATCTTCACTCAGCCTTGTCTGGGCCCACGACAGTCGGCGTCATCCGGGACGTCGACGTGGACTCTACCGAAGAACAAAAGGGAGAGGATCTCCGCTCAGAGAGCAATTTCGCCGACATCAGACGCCTTGAAAAGTCACGAGTCGTGAAACTCACATTGCAAAGTAGTCAGCTGCCAAACTATGTTCTGCTGAGGTGAGTTCGCCACCCTGTGTCGCCTTATACGGAAAGACCACTCCAATGCAACAACTACGGCATATTTGGTCCCATGAAGGTCTCCTGCACGCGCGCCATGGTTTGCAAACGATGCAGAGAACATCAGGAAGCATCAGATGCTATGTGGCAGTCACCGACACTCAGATATGTTAACTGCAGGGGAGATCCCTATGCTACATCACATGCCTGCCCGAAGTGGACCAAAAGGCGGGAGATAATCACTTACTCCTGTACCTATTCGGTTGGATTTCGTGTGGGCAGGTCAGCCTTGGAGGACCAGAAGGCATGCCGGTATGGCGAAGCGGATGCCCAGCCAGAGAGGCTAAGGCAACATGCAAAACATCCTTCGAAGTCAAGAGCTGTTACCGACGCGTTGGCAACTGAAGGTACCCATTCTTTGTCGTCTAACACACAACCAGCCCATGGAAGTGCTGGGAACGGTGCACTGGCAGCGGCTACGTCGGAACGCCCGAAACAAATATCCAAACAACCGCCACAAACATGACGGCGCTCTTCCACAAAAGAGGGAGACGCCGAGTACAAATGAGCATCTGCTGGCGAAGCCCCTGGATGGACGTCCATAATAATAGCCGCTGAGAACATAGCCTTTGCTATATTGGGAAATATTCAGACCTCATGGGCCTGCACAGTCACGACGATTCTGCAAACTATGATTCCTCTTCTTGGGATATGTTAGCAGGACTCTCGAATGACCAACGCCGCCAACAAAGTACCCCCCGGAAACATAAAGAAAGACGTAGCCCAGTGTTTCCTTTTCTCCTTCAATGGAATATGAATGGTTTACGCACTCGCTTTCCCATCCTCCGCCAAACCCTTGTAACCGAACGAATATATGCACTGGCTCTACGAGAAACGTACGCGATACCAGGGAAGGTCCGTCTGTCTGCGTACGTCTTCCATCACAGAGCAACCCTAAGCACCAATGGAAGATTGCGATTGGCAGTGCTGGGTCCAATGCCAATGTTCACCGTGCCCCCCTTGACCTTTCATACTTGTCTTCAGAGATTGCAGAACACCCCGGGGTGATGATCGCATTAGGCCGGCACGTCACAACGGTTATTTCTGCATATACTGTCCCGCATGGTGTATTGGACGCGAAGGTGCTAGAAGAATTTCACAAATGTAGCTGAGGACAGTTTCTTATATTGGGAAATTTTAACGCACACAACGAATCCTGGGGCGGGACTCGAACGGACGCCAGTGGACGACAGCTTGAAGATACTGCGGCAGCCCTTCAGCTGCGAGCTCTCAATGACAGGTCAAGGGCATTTTGTAGAAGAGGAACGAACGCCAGCACAATAGATCTAACGTGGGTACCGTCGCATGCTGTCGCCTTGTGGACAGCCCAGCAGGACACTGGAGGCAGTGATCATGTTTCCATAAGATCGACACAGTGTTAAGAAGATCGTGAACGATCTTCATAATACTTCCGCTTATAAAAAGCTGCCAAAGGACCCTACATCACAAGTCCAGGCAAGAATGAACAAAGTTCTAGCGGACATTTTCAAGAAGCAACCTGACTCAAGAAGCCTCCACCTGCGACTTCTCTGTAGGAATGGATCTGCTTCAGGCTTATATGGCCTTCCGAAGATTCACAAGCCTAGCGTTCCTCTTCGGCCTATTGTAGATTTTACCACCTCGCTACTTCGTGCTCTTTCCAACTATCTTCATCGCACCTTTTCTCCTCTTGTGGGAAATACGACGACCTATGTGCGCAATTCCAGCGATTTCGTAGAGAAGGTTGCACTATTAAAGCTGAGCGCTGAGGACACCATGGTATCGTTCGATGTCATCTCGCTTTTTACAAGTGTTCATGTTCCCCCGGCAGTCGCCACGGCTAGGAACGCTTTAGAAAAAGACAAAATCTCAGCGACAGAACGAACCTCAGCGTGGATTAACTGAGCCGCCTCCTTGAGCTCTGCCTCAACAGTACAT